GTTTCGGAGTCCATTACGTTCAAATATATATATATATATATATATATATATACAAACTTCCTCTTTCATAAATATAGATTAGGTATCAGGAAATTTGTTGCTAAATAATTGTATTATATCAATGAAATGCGTACAGTTAAATGTTGCACAAGCCACAGAATAGTACACATTCTTACTATGCATCATGGCTTGAGATAATATTTTGTCACACAAACTTTTCCCGCTATACTGCCAAACTGTGTTTCACTATATTAGCACTAGCGTGTTATTTAGCCTTATCTTTTACGCTTCACTGATTTTGTCGATGAATAGCTAGCGCAAGTCGGATGTACTCCTAGAGGGCTGATATAAGTGCCTAGCGCTAGTCGGATGTTTGAAAATGCCGTGGCAGGTAGTTGTGCGTAAGTTGGATACTCCCGTTTATAGTGCTTATATTACAAAATACTTAAATAGTGCTTGGCCTGACAATATTTTCCGGTTTGATCCTAAAAAGTCAATAGCTTTTTGATGGTTCAAAACTGGACCCAGGCGTTCTTGATTATTGGGATTTTAATAAACACTGACCAAACAGCTGCTTAGTAACAAAGCTACACAATGCATCTCACTATAGAAGGGGACAAGTTAACATATACCTACTATAGTCTGTATTATGGACCCAGTCTTATAACCCATCTTCCTACCTGGGTACTGGCTTAAAAAGTTTTAAATAAAAAAAAATAATTTTAATAAAAAAAGTTTTTATTTTTAGCTAAAAATGGTTTAGGCCTGGGCCAGTCCCAGATAGACAGAGGGTTTTGAGACAGGTTCCATCATACAGGCTATAGTAAGGTTAGGACCCGTGTCCCAAACCGGGCTATGATCATGTGCATAAAAACCTCATTCTGTACCTTCTTCTGGGTCTATCACTTCATGCGGTTGGGCCGTTCCCCTGCCCATGGTTATATCATATTCCTATACTAATGTGTATGAAAATGTTCAGGAAGTCATATCCTCATCTACAACCTTTATACAATATATATTTCATTTTTCATGTGAAAAAAATGCGGCAGAAAAATTCAAATATCGGTGTAAAAGTTTGCTTACTTTCATAATTTGTCATTAAATTTTGAAGAAAGTACCTATTGGATTTATCGCAATAAATGTAAAGGCAACATACAATGAGTTAAAGATTATTGTAATAGAATGAACCGTATTGGATACAGGCGTAATTTAGTAAAACCTTTGACTATTAATACAACTAGACATTCCATCCCCATGTTAAATTTGTAGCCAGTTTTTGAACCAAAATCGTCGTAGTTGATGTGAGCCACTGGGTACCGACAAATTGTGCTGATCTAAATTACTGATTTCTGCCGAATACACAATCTTTTTTACAAAATCAAACTAATGGAATGACTTATTGTGAACTATAGCAACTGTTATGACCCATCAACTTGCCCAAACAACAAAAAATACGGTAGAAAATAGAGTTTTAGTCGCTAGCGCATTCAGTGACTCATTCACACAACTACTTTTTTAACAAAATATTGGCTACAGCTGGTCCATATAGATGTCTACTTCAGTATCCAATAGTCAATGGTAAAACCTTGCAATTCCTGGCTTTGAGGGGGATGGGAGAGGAAAGCCCCGGGGGGGGGGGGATTTTAGGGGACTTCAGGTAAATTGCACATCTTTATGTGTACTTTATGAATAGGCAAAACACAGTATTGATTTGTCTCAAATAATTTATTATTAATTTTCTTCTTGCAGTCAATATACCCAATCAGCATCAAGTCAATAGTTACTTAAACAAATTTGTCAACTCTCCTACTCTCCAACCCCGCACCTGGGATATCCCGAGTTTAATTTCAAACCAGTTATTCAGTCTGATGTTTTGGTGGCTATTCACAGAATCCGAAGCAATGCTGTAGGTTCTGATGGGATACCTATCCGCTTTATCATAGACATCCTCTACGCTATCCTTCCTACTATCACGTTCATTTTTAATACATCTTTGAGGCTGTTCTTTCCCTTCATTTTGGAAGTCTGCAAGTATCTATCCCCTAAAAAAGATCTCAGCACCAACCCTGATTGGGGATTTCAGGCTGATAAGTATTTTGACCGCTCTATTAAAGACCTAGAAAGGGTTATTCAATGTCAAATCACTGAATTCATCACTGAAAATAACATTTTATCTGACTATCAATCTGGTTTCAGATCAGCGCACAGTACAACAACAGCACTCCTTCGAGTGACTGAAGACGTTAGACTTGCTATGGGGCGACGACAAGGAACTATTCTAACTATGTTTGATTTTTCCAAAGCATTTGACTGTGTCAATCATGACTTGCTGGGTCAGAAATTAAGGGCCATAGGGTTTTCCCAGAATTCTCTTAAATGGATGAGATCTTATCTGTCAGGTAGGCGGCCATGTGTGGAGGTTGGTAACAGAAGATTAGACTGGATGACTGTTACATGCGGTGTGCCCCAAGTATCAATCCTTGGACTACTGCTATTTGTACTGTACGTCAACGTAAACACCACATGTACAACTATGACAACTCTGGAAAATTACGAAATTTATAAGGCCACAAAAACCCGCCCTCAGGACCTACTCAATGATAAAAAAACACTCCAATCAAATGTATTATTTGAAACTTTAATACAAGTAGATAGAGACCGACAGTCATGATACAGGATGTCTTGGGGTCAGAGTCCAGTTGACAGGACCCGACGACCACCAGTCGAGACTCGGCAAGAGAGATGCTTGTATCATATATCCTGTTTTGTGTTTTAATAGTAGGCCTACATTTGTTTAATGTTCGTTTTGTGTTATGTGTCGATTTTAAACTCTGACGTGACAGTATGAGTTGAAAATTCAAGATTTTAAGTTTCAAGTTCAGGATCATCTGAAGATGACAATATATTTGTCGAAACGCGCGTAATCCTACCGGATTAACAAAACCCACAAGGCAGTCTGCAGGTACTGTAACCTTTTATTGATTAGCTAAACGTGGTTTAGAAAATCAACTACAGTATGAAGTGACCACATGTACGTTTACAACTTGCAAATCTATGACCATTTTACTGCAAACAACGAAAAAAAAAGTGTCAGATGGATCAATGAAGATGTCAACCGAATAGTTACTAGGAGTAGGAATCATGGACTGAGACTAAATCGCAAAAAGACAAAACCGATTGTAATTTGCCACTCTCGACTTCGCACTTTAATTGACTTAGACTCCATAAACCTAATCACAGTGAGTGGCAAAATCACTTCCGTTCTACGACAAAGTAAAGAATCTCGGCATATCTTTCAATTAACTCTTCATTTACTTTGGACACAGCAGTTAAACACATATGAAAAAAGGTTTTTGCCTCCATCCATTCACTAAAAAGGTTGCAGAATTTTTCGCCACAACCCATTAAACTACATTTGATCAAATCACCTGTATCAATTTGATCATCACTTCAGTGTTACTGCAACTCATTGATCTGTAATGACTGTGATTCAGGCAGGAATGCTCCATGATCTCAGAATTACTGTTGAGATTTGTCTATAGTCTGCGGCGTGAGGAGCATAGTACCTTGAGGCAAACATCTTGAAATTGAATTATCAATGATCCATCAACATTTTGTCATTGTGTTTTTAAATTCTGAAAACATGCTCCATAAAATGTTTTACATCTGAGTCTCAGGGTGGTTCAGGAATTTCTCGTTCTTCTCGATCACATTGCTTATACTTCATCATGTAACCACAGCTTATGTCAGGGCTTTTGTTAACCGCTTGCCGTCTTTGAAACGGCTTATTCCTGCCCATTAAATCCCTTACGTTCCCAGTTCGTGGCGGCACTAAAAAATCTCTACTTTGAGCAAATGGTCTCAGGTGGCGTGTCCTAAGGCTTCTGTGTCTTTGCGCGATTCCTGGTGCGTGTGCGTGTGAGAATGTGTTTTTTTTGTTATTTCTGTTTATAATTTTTATTATTTTGTTAAATTGTATTGTTGTTTATTTGTTCAGAATTTTTTAAATATGTAGATTTATATTAGATCAAGAAATCTCATTGTATTTTTATTTCATTATATTTACTTATGTCAGGTTAAGTGTAAAAAAGTGCCATCACTAACTTTACCTGGTAAAATAAAGAATTTTTCATTTTATTTTAAATAATGTTGGAGTTTTTTTTAAGTAAGTAAAACGTGTTGCATACCTTATGAAAGGGGTCACTTTTAAAACACAACTAGTTCAATTCATGATGAATTTGAAATTTGAAATTGATTGAATAGAGGAATAAAACTTTCAATCTGACAACTCATGGTAACGATGCATCATTAGAAAAATTAAGTGTTACTTCTAAATATCACTGAGTGGAATCATAAACGTTCATGGATCCATCATACGCTCTTCTCTTCTGGTATGAAACATATCTGTCCTTGCAGACATGCTATGATTACAATTGAAATAAAATTATTAAATTCTATATTTCATTGTAAATAAACTGGCCAAGAATGGATACTTGTATTCTCACAAGAAAGATTCTTTTATAATAAACACATTGTTGACCAAAAACCTCCTCTTTTGGAGCTATAAGAACATCTTGAAATTCATAAGATAAGAATCTTACTCAGACAAATTAACAGACTGATTACACTGTAGTTAAGTCTAATGTAGAGAAGTAAAGTACAGAAGAACACTCAATTATGGTACACTAAGTCTAAGAGGTGTCTAGCACTAGTCGCTGGTGTCTAGGGCAAAGTCCAACACCTCTCTCGCCAGCATGTAGTACAACGCATGCGGCGAAGGAAGATCCTGTGCAATAAGAATTTCTGCACAGTGCTCGCTGCTCTGGCTCTTCCTTACTCACAAATATATTTCTGGCATAACATACTAGAGCTGAAAGCGCATGGTCGTCCCATAAGCGAGTTTCCTCTGTATCTTACTTCTCTGTGGTTTAATGAATAACACTGTTGATCACATGAAAAATAGACGATGCCACGATTCAACCTGTTCTTTATTATTGCAGATGGCCATGTTCCTGCACTCACATGCAGCCCAACTGCCTCAACCTGTTGCCAGTAAGTTTATATATCTTTTAAGTATTTCACAACAAGATCTAAGTAAAACTTTCAATGAGGAGTTTATCTTTGAAGGGTCATACGTAGAAATTGAAAGTCTTAATTTGTTAATTGTATCAGTCTATAGAATACCAGGAAATTGCATTAGTAATTTATTTCCTAAAAAATTGTAATGTTTCATAACTGTTTTGAAAAGTGAGGCAAAAAATAAATGAATTGTTATAGCAGCTGATTTTAATATTAACCTTTTAGAAAAGAATAGTAATTTAGTAGAAGAATTTAAAAATATAATTAGCAGTCATGGTTTCTTGATAAATATCAAAGAGTCAACCAGAATAACAAAAACCTGCATTGATAACTTTCTAACTTCTATAAATTATGGTAAAGCTCCTTTTGAGAATCTTGATTTATCTGTGTCTGACCACAATGCTCTATTCCTTCAGTTACCTATTAACAGTAAATTAAAATTAAAATCAGCAAACTCTGTAAAATCCTATCAAAGACGTTTTCCTGAAGGATCCATTGCCCCGTTTATTAATAGTTTGAGATGTAATTTGACGTCTTTAGATGGTTCAGTAGATAACAATTGCAAAGATTTTTTGCCTAAGATTAAATTAAGTATGGAGGAAATCTTTCCAGTACTTACTTTCTGTGTCCGGAAATCAGACTTCGCTTTTCCAAAAATTAGCTACCGATATGGCTTTGTCATTCGCATGTAAAAGATCATCTAATGTGCAAGACTGGTCTAGGCGTGGGCAGATCAGCAGATGGCCAGGATCCTGAACAGAGCACCACACGCGCACAAGATGTTTTCTTCGTCTGGTAAGAGACCCCATTTCTGCATGTTTGTCTTGCATTTTGGTACCTCGACCCTAATTTGATTTAGGGTCTTCCACACCGTGTAATGAAGGCCTCCACCAGGAGCCAGTTCCTCCCTGGCTGGTATGGGAGGGTTAGTCAACGTGGCCTCCCACCTTGCCACCCGATTGCTTGAGAGTGATCCATCCAGGACTCGTGTCCGTGATAAAAAGCTCTTTCTGGACCGAAGCCGTCGCTCTGCAGGTTGGTGGCCGTGTAATGGGTGACGAGGGTCTGTCTCTTGCTTAGTCTTTTCTGCGTCGGCAGCGACATCACGTCGGATTGATGGAGGGGCTATCCCTATGATAGGACAGAGTTTGTGTACTGAGGTTGGTTTCAAACACCCAGTTACAATCCGAGCCATGTCATTGACTGCAATGTCAACCTTTTTTGCATGTGACGATGCATTCCATACTGGTGCAGCGTACTCCGCAGCCGACAAACTGAGCGCTAAAGCTGAGGTTCTGAGGACATTAGGGTTAGCACCCCAGCATCTGCTGGTGAGCTTCCTGATGATATTATTCCTCGGTGAGACTTTACCTCTTGTCGCAATACAATGCGCCTTAAATGTCAGTGTGCGGTCCAGTATGACACCAAGATATTTGGGTGTAGGACAATGCTGAAGACGGTCTCCCCGCCACCTCACATTCAACTCACGGCCTGCTTCTCTATTGTTTAGGTGAAAGGCACAAACTTGGGTCTTAGCAGGGTTCGGCTTGAGGTGATTTGCGTCATAGTACTGGGAGAGTTCATTTAGAGTCATAGTCAGTTCCACCTCTTCAAAACTCCTACCTGGTGCCGCCACCGCCGTATTATCGGCATATATATATACTGAGGTGTAGCGTTTGGCAACGGTTGGTCATTAGTGTAAATGTTATAAAGAGCTGGGGCTAAGACGCTACCCTGAGGCAATCCATTTCTTTGATTCCTCCATCTACTTTTCTTGCCTTGAAGGGACACGAAAAACCGCCTGTTATGAAGAAAAGTGCCCATCATTGAAGTAAGCTGATAGTCTTTGGTAATACTGTACACTTTTCCCAAGAGTCTTCTATGGTTTACGGTATCGTAGGCAGCTGTTAAATCTACAAAAGCGACACCCGTGATCTGTTTTCTCTCAAACCCATCCTCAATGTGCTGGGTCAGGTTTAAAACTTGGCCACAACAAGACTTGCCTGATCGAAAGCCTGCCTGTTGTGGAATGATCTTTTGTTCCAGAAATCGCCGATTCGATTGAGTATCAGACGTTCTAATATTTTATATGTGTGGCATAAGAGGGAAACAGGTCGAAAGTTCTTAGGATCGTTTGGATCTTTCCCAGGTTTGAGCAGTGCAGCCACACGAGCTTTCCTCCATGCCTTTGGTATATGCATTTGGCTTACGCACATGTTCATGAGGCTCAACAACCATTGCATGGCATTTTTACCTAGGTTCTTTAGTTGTTCGACTCTGATCTCGTCAATACCTGGAGCTCTATTAGTCTTTAAGCTGGTAATGACTGCAGTTAGCTCGGACATATGGTGAATGGTTCTTCCAGGAAGTGATTCTCACTTGCCACATCACGCGCAACAGGCTCCTGGTATTTCCTTCCATAGGTTTTGCCATTTAAAAGAAGGTTGGTAGCGACTTGATCGGCAGTAACTGTTGTAAAGTTGTCTTTTGGTTTTGTCACATCTCCATTTATGTTCTTGAGGAACTTCCAGGCCCGTCTGCTGTTCACCTGCATATCTAAACTCTCCACAAGATCACACTACTTAGTTTTGCGATTCTCGGCAATGACTGACATAAGCTCTTCACCTGCTAGAAGTGTGTCCTCAGCAACGGGATCATTGTCAAAGAGACCTTGGTATCGTTCTAGCAGTGGCTTTGCCTCTTCAGAGAGTCCTGCGATGTAATGGGTTCGACAGCCTCTAGGTATCATTTTTCTCGAGACCTGCTGGACAAGCTTAACGAAGGAGTCATACATATCAGGTTGTGGAGGGATTTTAATATTGGCATTTTAATATTGGCGATTTCTCTGTCAATGATCTCCCTAAAACCCGTCCAGTTGGCCTTTTTGAAATTAAACCTGCACCTTAGAGGAACAACTTCAGGTTTAACAACAGCACTAACGGTGCATACTATAGGTCTGTGTTGAGTTCGGGGAATCGGATCACTTACAGACTTTTCACACTGGGAAGCAATCCTGCTGCTCACAAAGATGTTGTCAGGGTTATAACCCCTCTTCCATCTACCGCTGTTAAAGGAGCAAGGGAGCTTAGGATCGTGTATGAGCTGCAGATCATTTGCCTCAGCCCAGGTTTCAAGTTTTGTCCCATTTTCACTTGTCTCTTTGTATCTCCAGGCAATGCTCTGACAATTAAAATCCCCCAAGACGAAATTAATGTCATCATAGCATAGATTATCGGGCTCTGTAAATACATACTGACATTCGGAAGGCTTAAACAAAGAGGTGACACTGTACTGTGGTGTCCTGATCGTTAGTATCTCAGTATTGTTCCTCTCAGTAAGCGAAGCTGAGGTGATGTCAATGTATGGCCTGGCAAAAACAGCACTACCATATTGATCATGAGGTCTCTCTAGAATCAGCCTCATTCCCTCTATGTTGGGTCTAGGTTTTAAAATGCCCCGGTGTGTTTCTTGCACAAGGAGGAAGTCGCATTCGTATGTCTTGCACATATCAGACAGTAATACTTCTTTGTCTCTCGATAGTCCCTCGATATTAATCGAGATCGATTGATAGAATCGAGATGGCCTTGAAAAAGACCGTTTAGGCAGATTCATTTTTCGAAGTCGTCTGGTTGTAGAAGGATTTGCCGCTGACATGTCAGCGTTGCCCGGGGTGCGCCCGATTGTTATGTCGTTCATAGCGTGTAATGGTCACAATCTTCGGGGAGGCTCCTTCTGTGCACCCCATCTAATCCAATCTTTCCAGTTAAACCTTTTAAAGCAAAAAATAAAAGTAAATCAAAAACTTGGGTTACTTTAGGGACAACAGTGTCATCAATAAACAAAAGAAAATTACATTATGAAGCAAAATTTAGTAATAATCCTAAATTTCTAAGCTATGTAAAAAATTACAAAAAGATATTTCAAAAGATTGTTAAAAAAGCTAAGAAATCTGCAAATGATAGGTATATAATGCAAGCAAAAAATAAGTCCAAAGCCATGTGGAATGTTGTAAGGGAAGAATTAGGAGTAGGTGTTAAAAGTGAAATTGTTAAGCTTCACATTAAACTTAAGGTCAACAATGTAATTATTGATGATGCTGTAGTGGTGGCGGAACTGTTTAATTATCAGTACTCCAACATTGTAAATATACTTAAGCTGCCAAACATGCCACACAGTGCTAATATCAATCCGTATGCTAACAATCCTACAGTTCAGGCGACAAAATTAGGTAATCTTCGTCAAACAAATGAAATTGAAGTAAAAAAAAAAACTATTCTAAGTTTAAATAACAGTAATGCCTGTGGCTACTAATGGGGTATACCCATTAAATTATTGAAATGGTCAGCAAATGAAATATCAAATATCTTGGCTACATTAATTAATCAATCTTTTGTCTTTCCCCAACTACTAAAACTCTCAGAAATAGTACCCATTCACATAAAAGGTTGTTTAAATGAAGTACAGAACTACAGACCGATCTCTTTATTAAGTAATATTTCCAAGGTTTATGAAACAATTCTTCACACTAGATTATCTATAGCTTTTTGGAAAATAACTACAAGTTTTGCAAGGAACAATTTGGTTTCCGTAAAAATCTAAATACCCAATCAACTTTAAATAACTTTGTAAATTGTGCTTTGAAGGCCTTGGATGAGTCGCAGTGCACAGCTGGTTTGTTCTGCGACTTATCCAAGGCTTTTGATTGTGTTAATCACAAAATTCTTATTAAAAAACTTACAGCAATTGGTTTTCATGGACAAATAATTGAACTTTTGAAATCTTACTTAAGCGATAGAAAACAAAGAACAGTAATTAAAACCGCCTTTGGGAACAAATACTCTTCTTGGGCAAATAATAACTATGGAGTTTCGCAAGGTTCAGTCTTAGGTCCTCTCTTATTCCTCACATATATTAATGATATACCTTTTCATTGTTCAAGTCAAATCTGTAACTTTACCCTTTATGCAAATGATACAACAGCTCTTATCAGACGAAGTACTGTTAAAATGTTACATGATGATGTCAAAGAAACAATTATTGGAGAAATAGCACATTGGTTTTTAAAAAATGGCTTACTTTTGAATAAAGATAAAACTAGTGTTTTAATTTTAAAATTTAGAAATTCAACCACTGGAACAGAAACTAATGCCTCGCCCACAAATGTAGTAAAGTTTTTAGTAATATATTTGGATAGTAAACTACAATGGACAGAGCATATTAATTTTCTAAACAAAAAACTTAGTTCAACAAGATATGCTTTAAGTGTTTTAATTCAGGTTACCTCCTTGGAAGTATGTAAAAATGTTTATTATGCTTATGTGTACTCTATTTTAAGCTATGGTATTACATTATGGGGGACAGCCACAGATGTCCACCAAGTTTTTAAAAAACAAAAGTCAATTATCAGAACTCTTGCAAATTGCCCCAAAAAAACATCATGTAGACAATTGTTTCGAAATTTTAAAATTTTAACTCTAACTTCAATATACGTTTTTGAAATTTTAAAAATGGTTCATGGAAATCCTGGTATGTTCTAATCACGCATATAATACCCAAAGACAAGATATTTTTCAATACCCCACTCATAATTAAAAAAAATATGAAACAAGTCCTCTCTATATGGGTTAAAAAATTAACAATAAAATTCCAAACTCCTTAAAGCAATTAAACTTAGCAAAATTTAAAGACAAAATCAAAACAGTTTTAGTAGAAAAAGCATATTACACTCTTGAGGAATTTTTCAATGACTCCTGGTAACAGACACCCATTCTCTCATCAACCTCTCTTAACATAAACAGTTCCACCACGCTACGCTGTAGCTTTTGTAGGGGTACCTTACTGGCTAAATCTTAGGTTTTTTATATAGGTATTTAGAATTCCTTATTTATTAGAAACCCTGACAATGTACCTGTCTGTGTATTACGTTTGTAATAACTGTAACAGATGTTATGTGCAATAAAGAATTGTCATTTGTCATTTGTCATTTTGTCAAAGTAACAGCTATAATAACCAATATCATCATTCATGAATATGTCACCTTATTGTTTATATACAAGGGTTTTGTTTGTGAATTAAGGTCTTAGCCAAGCAATGTTAGGTTAAATTTGAGACCAATGCTGTGTTCTATACTTTGTCTACTACACTATTTCAGCCAGCTCCCAACCCTATGCAACAATTATTCTCTTTGTAGTAGTCGATAATGACATAAGCGACAAATTGACTCTCCCGCCAAGTATGAATCATTCTTAATGTAATTTACTATTTACAAATCAATACTGCTACTTTAAACATCAATTGACATTCAAATCTTAAATTCAACCTGTTCAACCAGCAATAGTTAACATCACGATGATAAGCAGAGATAACTCATGGAATCATTTTATTTGCAGCCACTATGGAAGTTGGGCAAGATGTGCGAATAGAATGTAACAGTAATGACATCGGTGTTTCCATCTTCACAAAGTCTGGTGTCTTCAATGGCATGATCTACCCCAAAGGCTTATCGAAGAACTCAAGTTGCATGAGTGAATTCTTTCACCAGCGAAGTCCTGTACACTACAAGTTGCCGTTGCGCTCATGCAATACCATGAGCACTGAATTGGTAAAATATTTATAATTGTATGCCTATAAAAATTGTGTATTTTAATGCAAGGTATTATGATAAATTCATAAAAAATTTAGATGAATGTGAAAGTAAAAGATCACAGATATATAACATACTTCAGGTAAAAGCGCAAGGTTATCCCAAAAGCTTGTTTCTTCTGTACTTTACTTCTCTGTGCCTTGGTAGATGAGAAAAAGAAGTACATATTCCAGGTCAAATAAAATTGAGGGTAACTATGAACATTTGTTCCTCTCTGGAAACTTCTATACAGTAGGATCTCAATATCTAAAATCTGAAAGAGGTATGATAAAAATTTGAGTTATTAAACCTTTCAAATAAGTGAGGTTCGAGTTATGAAGGCGCTATACGAAAAAGCTCGAGATACTGAGGTGTTGGGGTCTGACAGTGATGTTACGTCACGGCAATTATAACTCGACTTTTACGTGCTAAACTACGTGGTATAAATCGAACTCAAACTATTTATACTTACTGAAGAGTAACTGTGGAAGCAATATAAATAAATTTTAATGCACATTAAATACTGTATATATTATTTAGCAATAATTGTAATTTATTGTAAACGTAAGTTCACTGGAACCTTTAACAATAAAGTAAACAACATAAAAACTGTATAAGCTCCATACATCCAAATACAGTACTACAATACAAATAATGAAAAACTGGTGTGAAAAATACAAAGCAACAATTGTTTATGGATACGCAGAACTGTAATTATCATATTTTTTGGTGTTATTGAGGTTAAACGTAAGTCCTGTTAACGTTTTGTAACATTATGTAGGCCTAGTGTATGGAAAAAGTAAATGAATAAGTTTGATAGAGTAGATTAAAAACCTACTAAATAACACAGGAAGCAAACACAGGAAGTTGGATTTGCATGTCTCCGACAGGAATCAAAACACAACTGACTTGCACTGTAAGGCAAAACTTTGAATTATTGAGGCACATTCGTGCGAACTTCGACTTATAAAGGTAAACTTTGAGTTACTGAGGCTCGATGACGGGAAAATTCGAGTTACAGAGTTTAAATATTTAGAAACTTTGACTTAGATACTTTTAACATTATGATTAATGTGGATTTCAAGGGGATTTAAAAAAATCAAGATATTAAGGAATTCGAGATATTAAGGTCCGAGTAACTGAGGTTGTACTGTATTTTCATCAAATATTTCAAGCAATGTTTCAAAGTTCAAACAAACTAATTATCTACTCTTATTTAAAAATTGAATTTGTTACTGTTGTAACATCAGTATCAAATAATTTTTACTCTGTTTCACGGTTTTCAAAAGCTATTGGTATACACCTCCCTTAATAATTTTCAAATCCCACCAGCTACAAACATATATTAGCCATGATGTTTTGCAGCCCATCAAGCTGCAAGCCCACTTTGCAAAAAAAAAAGGTGTAGCACGTACGGATAACTTTGAGTGTGTTCAAGTCAAAGTTCAGTCCCTTCATCAAAACCGTACAAGAATAATTTTAAGTCCCTCAAGGCCGACTGATATTTGTAAAATTTTACAATCTCTCAAGATGATGGGTATTTCATTAAATTTTCTTCATAAATCTTATATATATCCTTACATGATATTGACTAAAATACTGTTTTCAGTTTGAAGGAGGAGTTGAATACTTCAACACAATCGTAGTGCAACCTCATAGGAAGTTGGTTACCAACCAAGGGAGAGGGTTCCATATTAGCTGCAGATACCAGACCAGGGACAAAACTATCACTAATGATATCGATGTCAGGTTAGTACTGATCGTCAACTAGAGCCATAAGGAAGGGGTTAAAATCCCTGATAAATAAGCAGGTTAAGGAAGACTATAAATAATATAATGGAGTGAGATGTTTAACATAGTTGCCTAGTAAATCCTCACTAATCTGTTTATACAAACTTCTCTTCATCGAGACATCCGTTTGGCATCAGTTTATGATCATATCATAAGTTAGGAATGTACCTTTGAATAAATTACACAGTTACAATACATATATTTTAGCACATAACCACTGTTTTATTTTTGAGTTCAGAACAGACTATTCAAGTTTATTTATGAAAAAAAGGGGTTTCATTGTATTCAAAGGCCACCAAAACAGTCTTGGAGTAGCGAAGTCTTTTTTCATTTTAAAATATAAGGTAAAGTTTTGTAAATATATTTATTTTCAACGTGTTAAGATGTTCCTAACTTCGTTATGTTGGGATAAAACCTCTATGACTATGAAGTAATTCAGAGAGGTGATCTTATGGTCAGAGAATGGGTTAGATGAAGAGGGGAGAGAGGTGGGAAGGCATCCCCACATACCCTCAGAGTGCAAACCTCCTACGACATCAGATTACAGTTCCTCCCCTTGAAAAAGCATGACAGTTTACAAACCTACAGATTATTTAAATCCAGTCTAAAGTAATTGTTTGGGTAATAAATTTTGTTTTGTAATGAACTGTGATGAAAAGTATGCTAACAGGAAACATTTTCAACACTGTACAATACAATACAATACAATATTCTTTATTGTTCATTCGTTAAGAATTACAATAGTGTCACAATAGTGAATTGTATGTGTTAATTTCTATAATTTTTGTAAAATTCCTTTATTGTGTAGAAGGGTCTTGCGATTAGCCACTTCTTCAACTCCTGGTGTAGCTTGTTGCCAGTCAGGTCTCTCAGGTAGTCAGGTAGATGGTTCCTCAGTTTGCAGCCGGTGTAGGAAGGTTTTTTCCCCAAAGAGTTGTTCGGTGAATTGGTAGGGCAAATTTGGAGCCATGACGGGTGTTGTAGTGGTGTAGGTCTTGGTTTCTTGGGGGGTTTATTTCATCCTTATCCTTTTCCTTACCACACTCAAAGTTAACCAAAAGAAAGAAAATAGTCATTGCAGATTTAGTAATTTAAAATTCTAAAATATCTTTTGCTTATATGTTGATTTTATTATAACAATTATTTACAGCACTATGGAACCAACAACACTGTTTGCAACCATGCCAATGCCAGGATGTACAATGAAAATATTTTCTGGCGATCCTTCTGACCGAGAAGTTGCAGAAAATGTTAAGATTGGAGATCCTTTGACGTTGGTTGTGTCCATTGATGACCAAAACATCTATGGGCTGAAGGTGTCTGACTGTCTTGTTCGAGACGGACTTGGCTGGGGGGAACAAAGGCTCATCGATTCCTATGGGTGAGTAATGAATAAGATAAGTGTCTTAAATGGAATTTTAATATAATCTAAATAAATAAATAAATAAAAAGGCCTTTATTTACGAGCGAGTTTCATAATACATGGTTTTCAAACTAACTCAAGTCACCAAATCTAAACTATCCTAATATATTTACATAAGTATATACAAACAAATTACAACAGAATAAATTACAATATACATTTTACATTTGTTTTTTTCATCTAATCACTAAACAAGTGATTTTGCACTAACGGTTATCATGGAAGCTGTTTTACTTTGAAGTAAAAATATATAATTTTCTAAAAAAAACATTTAAATTACCTTTACACACCAGAGCGATACTCTGTGCGATACCATAGCGACTCTCTTGCGATACCTGTAGTCTGTGCGATACTATAGCGGCTTAGGGAGCCTCACAACCAGAGCGAACTGTGATATGAGACACCGAGACGAATGGGATACTGTAGCGATATTATCTCAGTAATGCTGCATTCACTGTTCGCAGCGCTTTATCGCAGCAATAAACATGCGACCAAACCATGAACTACTCAGTTTGGGTACTTTCCTTTTCAATAATATGCCAGCAAAAGTAAAGGGCTTAATTTTAATTTTTCAAAAACAGGGGACAAATCCATATTATCAGACATATTACACTCTGAAGCTGCCATAAGAACCACAAAAGATGAGAATGCAAGGGTATTGGCACGTGCGAGTATTGTTGATAAGGCTAGACATGTAGTTAACAATCGGCACAATACCTCCAGATATGTCAACCACAGGTCACTAAGACAGGTAGCGGCAGGCATTAGAGATAAGATCACTGACAACGACGCCGTAGTCTGCAAAGCCGATAAAGGCAACTCAATAATAATTCTTCCAAAACTTGACTATATAAGGAAAGTACATGCCTTATTTGAAACTAATGACATTGGAAAATTGAACAACGATCCTACCATACAGTATTCCAAAGAAATAAATAAACAAATTAGTTTGAGTACAACGCTCCTATCAAAATCTGAGATATTCACTTTAAAGGTTACTAATCCACAAGCTGCTCCTATTTTCAGGGGCCTGCCTAAAATCCATAAACCTGACATTCCCATAAGACCTTTAGTAAATTTCATTCCATCAGCAGCTTATAAAATTGCAAAAAAAACTGGACAACATAATAAAGAGGGAGTTCAAAATGGAAAATAGTTTTAGTTTGAAAAACAGCGTTGACTTGATTAGCAAAATAAATAATGTAAGAATAGAAGATAAATACATCCTAGCATCACTCGACGTGGTAAATTTGTACACTAATGTGCCAATAAATGAGACAATTGCTATACTGAAAGATAACTTATTGAAAAACTCCTCATTAATTAAAGTAGCTGATAACGAGCTAATAAAACTCACTGAAATAGTTCTAAGACAAAATTACTTTCAATTTGAAAACGAAATATTTTTACAAAAAGAAGGACTGACTATGGGATCACCCTTGCCTTATCTTGTATTTTAGCAGAAATCTACTTGAACAACTTAGAGAACAAATATCTGTGGTCTGATAGTAACCGTCTAAAAGACAAGATAATATTTTATCATCGTTATGTGGACGACACCATTGTCCTTTTTAATGGAACAAAAAGACAATTGGGAATGTTATGCACATACCTAAACAATATACACAGGAATATTAAGTTCACACTTGAAATTGAAAACAACAAATCATTAAATTTTCTGGACCTAAATATTTTAAAATGCTCTGATGAAAACAAACTAAAATTCAGAATCTACCGGAAACCTACCACCACAAACCATACTATACATAACACTTCACACCATCCTCAAAATCAGAAATTAGCCGTTTACCACAGTTTTGTCAATAGATTATTATCAATTCCATTGTCCGAAGAAGATTACAAGGAAGAGGTAAACACGCTAAAATACATTGCGGTGTCCAATGGATACAATAGTAATATTATTGACAAACTCATTAAGAAACACAAAAATAAAAATATCCACACCAATAAGAGAACAAACAAACCAGTATATATATCTACTGAGTTTGGCACATACTTTAACAGCACATTGAAGAAAGAAATGTCAAAGAACAATGTTGTAGTATCGTTCAGTACTAACAATAGACTCTCATCTGAATTAAGAAGCAATAGAGGAATAAATCTACTACTGACAAATCGGAAGGATCTGGTGTTTACAAACTTAATTGTGACAGCTGCTCTAGTTTTTATATTGGACAAACCACCCGTTCATTCAAAACTAGATATAAGGAACACCTACCAAAACCATCCATCCACAAACCCAATTCTGCATTTGTTGATCATCTGATAAGTAATAACCACGATGTCTTATCTATTGACAAATCCATCAATGTATTACATTTTTGTAGAAAAAGAGGTAGTTTCCTGGATACAATCGAAGTATATGAGATATTCAAGGCCGGCAAGAAACATCCCCAACACATCCTCAATGAAAAAACATCATTTGAGTCAAACATTATTTACGAAGCAGCCTCATTCATACAAAACTTATCAGAAGACAATGGCACTGATAACAACAAAGGATAGGAGGGGAGGGGAAGAAAACGGCGACGGTCAGTCTAGACCTACACCCTGAACCTGCAGCCGCACCGTGAGTTGTATGGCCATACTTTATTCGTTAAAATGTGTGTACGTGTTTGTTTTTGTTATTTGTTTGTCTCATTATATGTTTTTGAAGACTTTATGACGACGTCCTAGGAGGGAAAAACCACGTCTAGGCTTGACAATGACACCATAAGTGTGTCTAAACCGGTAGCCATTAAGTCTACCAAGGATTACGTTGGCAATAAGGTATTTAACCTCTAGATTAGTAATGCCAGCAATCAAACTCAGCAACTCCTTATCATGTACTTTTTGTTATTTATCTAATTTTGTGGTGTACCCACATTTTCCTTGCTCTTTTGTCAGTAGTGAAGGAGACGAGTTCTGAGGCAACAGGTGAGACCCCCCGCGAAGCTACCTTTTGTTATTGTTTACAATCCTTGACCCCTGACCTCCAGTAATCAGCCGATAGCACTAATCAAACGTTTAACCCCAATTGACCTCAATTAAAAAACAATTAGATAAAAGATATCGCATTCCGGCGTTATCTGTTATCGGGGATTCCCTGACCTGTGGGTCACCGCGTCTGTTTACATCGCGCTTATCGCCCGCCATTATTGTTCACACCTTATTTATCTCCTTTTGCATGCGATCAAGTTGGTCGATGTGTACTAACAGCTATTCGCGTTCTATCTGTTGGTAAACAGTGAACTAGATTTTTGTAATTAGTGATTTAAAAGTGTAGCAAAAAAGAAGTCATTCTGCCTCAATGGGATTTTTTAGTTTCCCTATCACTCACTGTTTACAAAGCTAAGACGTTACCACTGAGCCAGCATGACTTCTACAGACTGCCTTGTATTTTATGTCATATAGCCAACCTAATGCATCCAGTCTTATTGCGGCCATCGATCTAGTACAATGTCTGGACCTAATCAAGAACGGCCAAATTCATCTCTTGGCTCTTCAAATGCCAACAGAGCCAACCTTACTTTGGATTTTTCCAGACCACATGAACGCAATTATGAACGCATGGCTGGAGATAGGAATCGTGAACAGAGTGGGTTCGTGTCACCATCTACTTGGACGAGTGGAGTTGACAGGTGGTACAAAGCTCAATCTAGTTTTTTTTTTTTTTTTTTTTTTTTTTCTAGGGAGAGGAGGGAAAATGCCTTTACGCACACAGGTAGCCAGCCTGTAGAGTGAGACTCCTGAAATTATCAGACTACTCACTAAAAAACCCCCTCTACTCTGTTGGACACAGACCTGGAATTGTTTGTCACATTACTTCAAGTCAGGCCAACATGTGACCTAAGCCCTCAGGGCTCGCACCGTTTTTGGCATTTTGATTCTTTATGACCTACACCGCATCCCGGTCGAGGTCGAACTTCTTGGCGCGGAGAATACTCTGGATGTAATGTGACACACAGGTCCAATAGTCCTCACCCTCCGTCATCATCGGTATGACCGTGTCCACCGACAGCAGTCCTACTAACTGTTGAGCCTCCAGGCGGGGCCTTTCCCAGTGCTGGCAGTGGAAAAATGTATGTTCCACGTCATCGAGAATGCCTGGGCAGTATATGCAATCGGGTGACACGGCTTTGCCCATCCTAAACAGGTACGACCGGAAAAAGCCATGTCCCGTCAGAAATTGGGTGAGGTAGAAGTCCACCTCTCCGTACCGCCGATTAACCCACGGTTGGACTTGCTGTATCAGTCGCCTGGTCCAGCGTCCCCGTGTCTCCTGTTCCCAGCTCTCCTGCCACATCTGGTAGGTGCGGGTGCGTTCCTCTGTTCGTGCCTCGTCCTCCCCACGGCGCCGGTAAATTGCCTTCCTCTCTGCCGCCAAAAGTTTGACGGGGATGACTCCAGCAACCACCAGGACGGCGGGCTCGGACACTGTTCGGTAGGCAGATGCTACCCTCAGTGCTGCCTGACGTTGCACTCGGGCGAGCCGCATCCTGTATGCCTCCTTATTTAGTACGTCTGCCCACACCTCCGCACCGTACAAGAGTACGGACTGGACCGAAGACATTAGCAGCCTTCTACGACTGGACCGAGGCCCTCCGACATTGGCCATCAACCGGCTAAGAGAAGAAACAACCCTAGCGGCCTTGTCCGCTGTACGGAAAATCTGGTCCCGCCAGCTAAGCTTGCTGTCTACCATGACCCCAAGATACTTGGCAGAACGAACGGTTTGAACCTCGACGGCTCCCACCCTCAACGGCACGATGGTGTCAATCCGTTTTTTTGTCAAAATCACGATCTCGGTTTTGCTCAAAGCAAGCGAGAGACCGTGGTCTGCCATCCATGCGTTTATGGTACGCATAACTCGGTTAAGCTTTAGCTGAGCCAGCTCAACGCTGCGTGCAGCTATCAAAGCTGCAACGTCGTCCGCGTACCCAACCAAAACAGTTTCCTCAG